GATGTCACAGAGCCTGAAAGAACGGACTTTTCCCTGTTTGCCCTGGATGGATCAGCGTTAGATTGAAATGAGTTGCAGGAGGGGATATATATACAGCCCTGTGTGAGGGCCATACCCCTTGTCTTTGAAAATTTCTAAAAGGTTGAAGTTAACTGTAGTTAGTAACTGTTTTGATAATTTAAGTATTTAAATCCATCAAACGCTCTTTGTTTTTCACTCTCCTTGTTTTCCTTTTTATAAATTCCTCCAGTGATTACAGATATGTTATAGCCAACGTGGCCCAAATGCCTCTTGTGACTTTTTCTGAAGCTGGGAGAAGCTTCATGAAGCATTAACCATCAAAGAGGCCATGTCTGCGCCAGTCACTCTAACTACTGTAAGATGCTATACTGTAGTAGTCACACAGTCCGAAGGGGAAAGCAGCAAACTAATTGCTTTCAGTAGTAGTTAGTCACAGTTAATCCTGCTTGGGACAAGGGAACGCCCTACTGTTGAGGTGCCCTTTTTACTTTTCTCTCAGGTGATAGAAGGTGACACATTTGGAGCATTTCTTTCCTGACCTCTTGCCTATTTTGAAGAATTCTATTTATAGGCAGAATAGGGAACAGGGAAACATGGATCATCACATGTGTATCTTAAAGCAAACCAGGACAAGTCCCTGCACCACCATCACCACAAACACTGACTTCTGCACAGACCCACCAGGCTGTGTCATGTTTCCCAACAGGAAAGGGCTATGTATAGGAGCAGAAGTAGTTTGAAATGAAAAAAACAACTAGGAGGAATTTCAAGAGCACTGGACAAGCCATGTTATTAAACATATGCCTCAGAAAACAAGGTACCAAGTTCCCTCTGCATCTCCAGGCCAGTGGCTGGAAGCTCATGGTCAACGATGACTGCAGTCATCAGATGGTTCTTTTCCACAGTATATGCTTGCTGTGGATCAGTCCACTTTATACTCTTTCACAACCTAACTCTTTTGCTTCTAAGTTGCAAGCGAAAGATAAACCAACCATAGACTTCTTCTTACAACACCATCCAAATTTTCTCCTGCACAGAATTTAGGCTTTAATTTCCATCTAGGAGATTTGAAATATTACAGGTTATTCATTGTTTCAAATTAAACATTCTTAATCTGATCCTTCTAAGTGCTTCTGATTCTAAATCAACATTAGTCAAGTTACCTTCTTTTTGAAAACTTCGCCAATCTAAGTGCTAATTGTGATTGCATTCTGCAAGCCACATATACACTTCTCACAGGTTTTCAAATGTCTGTTACACTTCCCTATTGCTCTTACTAGCCCTTGAAGATATGCCAAAACACAATGTTAAATAATGTAGCTTGTGAGGACTTCCCAATTGCATCCTGCCACATGTCAAACGATGTTGCTTTTTGCAATTACCCTACACTGCAAGTCAGTAAAAGTTAACTATTTATTAGGGGGATTTTTGTTAGCACCCTTCAACTTCCTCAATGATTTATAAATAGCCATGAGATGCTACAGTATCAGTTTTTCTTCTCAAAGGTCAAAGCAGGGAATCAGAAATCATCACTTCTGACATAGAACTGCTCCCATTTACAAGCTGTGTTTAAAACAAAAAGCACCCCACCTTTCCAAAAGGTACTCAACAGGCAGTTTTTACATTGTCTTAGCTCTCTTCATTTTCCTTTCTTCCTGGCCTCTTCCAAACTTATTTTTACCATTGTTGGTCTTATGCTATCCTCAGTTGACTTTAGAAGGAGGTAAGAAGGGATACTTCTTCAATAAATGCAAGTTATTTTGAGCACTATATACAGTATTGTGTTGGGCCATGTGAACCAAAGACAAATGGGGACAGTTCTGCAGCTCTTCAAGAATGGCCACATGCTTTGGAGTATTCCAGGGTAAGTTACCAAGGGCTAGAGTACCAGGTCACAGCATTTGTAAAACTCTCTAATATTAAAGCACTTTTACAAATGCAGGCTGGAGAGCACAGTTAAATCCTAACTATGGCAATGAAGCCGTAAGGAGCTCGCTGTTGTGTACAACTCTGAGAAGAGGAGCAACTTATGCTACCATCTTGATTTCACTGCTCAAATGATAAGCAAGCCAAAAAGCTGATTGGAGGTCTATCTTAAAAATCACTTATGTCCTGTAGCGTTCATGAACCAAAAAAAAAAAAAAAAACCAACCCAAACTTTCACAGTCTCTTAAATCATTTCTGTTTGCACGTCTCTTCCGTTACTTCCCTCTGAACATCCCACCACATAACCCTCCCACCATTTCATCCTTCTCACGTCACCGTAATTACAGCTCTGGCTCATCTCCTTTGTGCCGCATCTCGAGATTCTTTCTTTGGTCTTGCCACCTACTCATTTCTGATTCTTCTCAGATAACAGAATGCTTGTCTCCTTCCCAGACCTCCCACCTCCTTCCCCCTCTTCCTTACACCAGCCATACGAGTAAGGAAGCCCATGTTTTCCTGTCTCCAAGAGCTCTTTGTGCTCACTGGAAGGCATTCCCAAATTTATCATCTCCATCCAGTGAAGACTACAACAGCTCTGCTGTGGGCCTGGTAAAATATTACGCTTGTGGGCAAAACATTCCTTGGATTAGGCTTGCAAAGGGCAATAGTCTTAACCTTCAGAAGTTTACTTTGAAGTCTGGCCGATTCAGGTTCCCTAATTCATTCTGTGCTTTTTCTTCCAGCTAGAGCACATCTGTATGTCTCAGTGGAGACCTACAGTCATTCACTCAGCATCCAATGTTTGTGAGGCCACTGATGCATGCAAATATGGAGCCCACAGCACCTTCCCAGTCAGTGGGAGAAGGTGCCTGCTATTCCCACACTTCATTGTGTACATTGTGTGAGGACACACAGATATCACAACAGTTTCCACACTACTACAGAGCTCAACGGAAGGGAGGAAGGGGGGTGGAATTTAAAGAGAAGAAAGCCCACATACTCAGAACATTCCTCATCTTCTATTTCTACTAATATGCTACTATAGAAAATGCAAGGAGACTTTAGTAAGAGTAGTTCAGCGTAGGCAAAGCAGCCATTCCTTAATTGTAATGTGTCCAAGAAACCAAACATTCCCCAGATTTTACCTGTCATGCTAAACTTAATGGTATTCTAATTAGTTTCTGTGCATTAACTCAGATATGCCAACACAAAAATGCCCAAACACAATGTTAAAATGATTGCCCATCATACATGTGATGTTCATTGGTACTGCATTAACATTGAAGGGAAAAAATACTCAAAACAAACATGGTCCAGGGCACCTAATCTGAAGTACCAATGGTAAACTCAAGGCTGAAGCACAGAAGAGACCTGAGCTGTGCTGCCTGGCTGCTGGGTGCCGTTCTGCACAGAGCAAAGCCAGCGTGGCTTCCCCTGGCTGGAAGTCAGAGCAGAGGGGGAGGCAGCAGGAGGCCACTTTGCAGACAGCTCCAGGTGCCAAGGGGATCGCGTGGTCAAACAAGTCAGAGGAGTGGAGAGGAAGAACCCATTTCATTCCTAATGCATACAGATGTGTAGAGAGTGTTACTTTTGCATGGCTCCTGGAACTCTCAGGGATCTCCCAAGAGCAGTGTGGGTTAATTAGACTGTGTGGAAGTCGCTATTATTTTAAATGAACTCCACTCCTACTAGAAAACATATCTCACTGGCAGGAGGACAAAAACCAGCCTTCCAACACAAACACTGAGAAATGAGAATCTTTCTGTGTGCTCTCACAGCCCAGCTTGGTGGTGTTACTGCCTATGTGTAACAACGACTCCCTTCACCCTCCTCGAAGATGATATAAAGAGAGAAAACACACACCGGAACTACAACAAAAAGAACCCCACTCTGCCAAAATATCGCTGTGCAATCAAGGGAGACATTTTTGATACAACTGGAACACAGTCCCATGTTCTTAGCAGGTATGTTGTTAGTATACAGGTGAATAAATTACAAGAACGGTGTGCCCAGCCAGCCAGTGTCAGCACAGAAAATGCGCTCCAAAGCCAGCTTCTAGCCCACGTGTTGGGAACTGCAGCATTCTGCTGGCTGGGATGGTTTGCACTGCTTAATAAACCCAACCCTGTGCTTCAAAGGCAGACTTCAGCAAGTCAGTGAGGTACAGTCAGTTTGGAAATACTGAGGTTAAGAAGTGAAATGGTGAACACATAATAATCTATTGATAGCCGGTATAAAAACCATCAGAAGTTGAAGTAACATTAGCTTTGGGATATGATACTTCTGCCATTTTTGCTAAATCCATATTATTGCAGAAAATTGATAAGAAAGCTCATTTTACAAATCAGTTTTATCAGGAAAGCTTTAGAGATGTTCTTACCATGCTTCAGATGTAGGCAGCTGTCATTCTGGGGCCTGTACCTGTAGAAGATTGTTTTCCTTTAACAAATTTCTGTTACAGAGTTTTTGCACATTCCAAATAAGTTTGTTTGCTACAGCATAACATTTTTTTTTTTTGGTGTGTGTTTTTATTTTTTCGTTTTTCTTTTCATGGTTCTTATACCAGCCATTTTTGTTGGGGGAAACAGTTTCTCTTGCTGTATTTTAAAGGCAAAGAGGAGACCTCACTGATGCTTTTAGCCAGCCCACCAGGCAGCTGTTAGTGTACACAGAAACGTAAAATATGGTTGATAAAAACTATAGTAGCTACAAAAAGGTCAGTGTGAACTTTTCAGCGTCCAGTAATCCCACGCGACATTTGAGAGGTTGAGTCTAAGGATGATGCAACACTGACTGGGGAGAAAAGCAAAGGTAAAGTAAAGCACGACAGCAATTGCAGCAACAAGTAACTTCAGACACAGATGTTGTGTAGTCAGGAAAGGCGTAAAGGAAAGGAAACACGTTCTGTGTGCATTTTTACAAGCTCACATTCAAAGTGAACTATCTTTTAAAGAAGATCAGAAGCAAGCGTTAGAGAGCAGCGTGTAAAAATTAAATAGTGTGAGCCTTGGTTTCTGAATGTAAGTACTAAGTAAGAGCTGGACATTGCCTACCTGATGCTGATTCCTGCAACTTTTCTCTCTTCCTCTTCTTTTTCTTCCCCTGCAAAACAGGTGATGTTACCACACCATCACATACAAACATTGTATTTTTGCCCTCCTTGCCTCACACCATAGAAAGAAAAGCTATCTGGACACTGAGAAAGCAGTTAGGAAAAAAACACAATTGTTTTGGGGGTAGCTAAACCTTTCGCTGTTTCAGTGGTAATGAGGGCTTTGCTCCAAGTATCTAAGGAGAAATATGCACACGAGCAATACACATTTTTGTATCTAAACCGAGTTACAATTTCTGGCACCTCTTCAACTAACACTGGCAGCCGCAAGCATCTAAAAGACTTCTCATGCTTAATAAACCGATGACACATATGCTGATATCCTAATTTATGAGTCTTACAAGAGTTCTTCACACATGCAGATACTCACACTGTAATACATGGCAACAGCAGACAGGGTGCTGAAAATACCTAGGACAACCACAACTTGCCCCCAGGGTGCAAACCAGCCAACTACAACCATTCTGATAATGCCTGTATCTTAACAAAAGCCAAGTCTTGTATGGCCATGCCTGCAGTGAGGAGTGTCCCACACAAATAACAGGCTGGTGTGCAGTGAGAGGCCTCAGCGTGAGTGAGGGCAGGACAGGAATGGCCGCCAGGCAGCTGTCTGTCTTGGCCACCACGCTGGCACCAGTGTGTCAGCACAGCCATCGTGCCAACCCACACACAGAATCAGCCTTCCCTCACGCCCCCGGCTATCAAAAAGGCCAGAGTGCCTGGGTCGCATGGGCTGTCAGAGAACAAAGGATCAGCTCAGACCCACAATTTTAAACCTCAGTCATCCTGTATCGCCCTAATTGCCACCCTGACATTCTTCCACATGACTTCTCCTTATTGCTCTGTATTTGCAGTCTTCTCAGTCACAGCTTTTTACTGAGGGAAAAGAGAAGGAAAGGGAAGAGAAAAGGGAGAAGGGAAAAGGAAAAAAAAAAAAGGCAGGAGAAAGGGCAGGCGAAGAGGAAGAGAAAGGGGAAAAGGAAGGGGAGAAGGGGTTAGGGTAGGGAAAGGGAAATGGAAAGAAGGAGGAGATGGAGAAGGAGAGAAAAGAGAAAAAGAGAAAAGAAAAGAGAACTGAGAGAAGGGAAGGGAATGGAAGGGAATGGAAGGGAAGGGAAGGCAAAAGGAGAAAAGGAGAAAAGGAAAAAGGAATAGGAATAGGAAAAGGAAAAGGAAAAGGCAAAGGAAAAGGAAAAGGAAAAGGAAAAGGAAAAGGAAAAGGAAAAAAAGGAAAAAAAGAAAAAAGGAGAAGAAATGAAAAGTAAAATAGAAGAGAGAGAAACAAAGAATGGAAAAGAAAAGAAAGAAAAAATGAAAAGTCATATCCACATATATTTTAAGAAAGCATTCAGGCTGCAGGAGAGGCTCTAGCAGATGAGATCTGGCAAACCTTGCTGCAGAGGCAGTGTGTGGGAGTGTAACTTGCTGTCCCCCCATGTCCTCCCCACCAGAGGAGCTCCTGAGGCTGGCAGCTGGACTGGGCAACACCTTGTGAATGAGCTCCCAAAGACAGAACCACAGCAAGGAATCACAAAGCACATTTGTGGAGCTCAGGGAAATTCAAAGCAACGTGCTTTATCATGTAAGCACCCGGACAATGCTTTTTCACTGTACTGCATACTGAAATGTCCTGAGAGCTGATTTGAGATCCATCTACGATATCAGAATTTAAAGGACAAAAGGAAAAGGCTGAGCTGAAAGCTAATTGTCAGCATTCCCAAAAGAAGTAGCTTGTGACACTTGGAGGGACTACGTTGGATGTCAGTAATAAAAAACATTAATAAGTACCCAGAAATTGACAACATAAGTCATCCCCAAGTCACTATTAACTTTGAAAATACTGCAACAATCTCTCTGCTAAATCAGTAGTGTCATTTTTGACTGCAAGTTGGCAAAAATGAAGGAAAATTATGATGACTTAGACCCCAAAAGGATTCAGTGACAAACTGTGATCAACTCTGATTGCCTTCTCACCACTGCTGCAACAAGTGCTGGCATTTCTGGAGAGGCAGAGAGGGCTGCGGGAGGAACGCTAGCTGTAATATATAGGACTGGAGCACGTCAGAGCTGCACTGCTACACAGGATATAAGTAGGAAGCACATCAAAGAGAGAATTCTTGTGTGCCATCTTATACCCTCAAAATGTCTGTCAGTGTGTGTAAGAAACAGCGGGCCCACTGCTCATGCTGTATGTGCATGTGGTGTGTGCTGTGGCAAAATACATTGGGTTCATGAAGCCAATATGCCTGACCATCACAGGACAGTCACTGTTCCCTAGGTAAATGTAAGCTACCAAAAAGTACCTTTCTGGCACTTCAAAGGCCAACCACCACAGGGAAAGCTGAGGGCAAGTAAAGCGTGAGCTGGCACCGCTGTGAAGTACTCTGATTTTCCAGCAAGTAATTTCAAGACAACTGAAGTCCCCTTGCTGCAGAGACGTTTCAGCAAGGCTGTGTTTGTTCCCAGGTGCATTTCAAAACAGATCTGTTGACATGGTCTTGGTTACTTGAAATAAACCCCACCTGCATAAGGTCATGACAGCTCATGTGCTAGGAAAAAAGACTATAAAACAGACAGAAACAGGCTGCCAGTGCTTACAGCAACATCTGTGCTTACAGAACCGGGCATGGATGTGAGCAAGACCAAGGCTTTTGCTTCACAGATGATCACACAGTTTCTGTGTCAATACTTTCCATGCCAAAAATCTCCCTTAGAGACTCAGGCTTACAACAAAAAACTTCGTTTAAGCTGAGCAGTCACTGTGCTGCATTGGAAACGTTGGGTACTTCTGCAGTCCCTGTTAATGCTGCATTCAGGTGTCTCAAAATCTTCAACATCCAGAAGACATCACTGAAACAGAAAATGCTATTGTCCACCCAATACAGATGGGAAACTAAGCCAGATACAGCGTGTACACTTCCTATCACAGTAAATGTCCAGTTGATAGGGGACAGAAAGGAGCCAAGATCTTGGGCTGGGGTCAGTCTCTAAGGACTGTGGCTTTCGAACTATGTAACACACAACTCCCCTGACTGCTCATAGGGAGAACAATTGTGTAGTTGTGTAGTGTGAGCCAATGCAGTGTGACAGTAGTGCTTGTTTGATATTTAATTATAAAAAATGAGTGTTAAAAAAAAAACTTTGTTAAATTTTTTAGCTTTTCTGAACTGTATAAAAGCAAAATCTATTGTAAGGTTTATTTATACAGGTCTTCCAGGCTTTATTTCAGACATGGACCATCCTGAATTACTTTCAACTAAAGTTCACTGTGCAGCAATTCCCCTGGCTTTTGTTCTCCTGAAAGGGAGGTGCCCCTTTTTTTTTTAGCTCAGAAGATTTCTGGATATAAAGTAATCACATGGCATTATGGAAAGTTCAGCTTTCAGATTGCTTAGAAGAACTTTCTGTATTAAGTTTTCCCCTCAAAAATAGTGACCATCGTAAGATGCATCTCAACAACAACAATATCTCCGAATCTCTAGATGTATGAAGTGCAAACAAATACCAGGCTTATGTTTGCCCACCATCCCTTCTTATCAGAGCTTTCCACGAGTTACATGTCAAAAAAGAAAAAGAAGGAAGTTACTTTGAAAAGAACCTTCAAGAGAGCGACTTACGTAGTTGTCTCTTGCAGACCAGCCTGGATAAAGCTGCATGTGTAGCTGCCTTTCTTTACGAGCTAGTTCATAATATTTTGCTTGTTCTTCACGAGAGAGAGCATGCCACTGTAAGCCAAATAAACACAGTATTAGACCAGGAAATAACTCATACCTAAGCAACAGATGACACGAACAAGTATTTTTGTGACTTTGATTTGGTCCTTCTCCATTGCAAAAATGAAATTCATTAGCAGTTACAAGCACCCATGTTTATTAAACAACTTTCAGGCATTTGTCAACTCTGTAACTGCCAACTGCCTTGAGCAAGACAAAAATCACTTATGGAAACAGGGCTAACCGTATAATCCGTTCAAAGAACCATGTTCTCTCAACATGACACAGGCACACACAAAAGCAAAAAATATTCTAGTTCTTGACAAAAACCAGCAGGTTTTAAAGGGCACTGAGCTCCCCAGAACAGAAGGGTTTGCTGTCTTGCTTTGAAGCAGCTGCATGCAGGTCTTCATTGTCACAAAGGGCTCTCAAAGCATCAACAGGCTCCTGTTCCAAGATCAACTTCTCCACATTGAGCTCCAAGGTACCCGCCTTCCACTTTCTTGTGGTTGTAACAGGAGAAAATGGCAACTGCAAAAAGTTTCTAAGAAACAAACCTCACAGAACTGTAGTCTTCCAAATGACGAGTTGACCTCTGTGACCAATAAAGGATAAATTTAATATAAAATAAATCCTGCTCTTTTTACCTAATTTAAAAAACAACAAACTAAACCGAAACCCTGCACAGGGGAAAAGGCACCATGGTACCTAATCATTTTGTAGTTGTTGAAACATCTATAATAGACCTGAGCTAAAAAGACAGAAGGAGTTCTAGTTAGAAGCAGATTCACTGCTGCAGCTTTCAGGGTCTTGTTTGACATCGACAACGTGCACTGGGACAGACAGCGACAGTGATGCAGGATGCATTATAAAAAGAAAGGTACTAAAAACACAGACATGAAATCAGCGAGGCACTCATGCAAGAATAATTTACAGAATCACGATTTCAGGTCCAATCACATCTGATTTTCAATACCGTTTTGTTATATGTCAGAAGATGTGAACTACAGGGCTGGTCTGCCTTGACTTGGCAAGTTCGATGTGTTACTGAGAGCAGAGCAGCTCAGCCTATTTGCAGCTCTCATACTCCACACATGCATTCCAAAACTGGAAGGTTCTGAGCATTTTTCACTTGTGTCTAAGCAGTCAACATCAGGTAATGCAACAGAAGGCCAGTTACAACTGTGAAACAAATTCCACACAAGCAACTGAGGCAGCCAAATTTCTGTATGGGACAAGAAGGGTCAGACTGCCTCTGTGACAGGTGGAACATTTCTGGTTTAGTGTGAATGAAGTGAAAAACCTCAAGAAAATAAGATAAGGTGACACCCTCTTTTTCTACAGATATAGTTCGCTGGTACCAAGAGGACAGACAGAGAACAGCTGCCTTACCAGAAATGTAAAGGTAAAACGTCTAAGAATGGAAACTTAATTTTCCACTCAGCACATTGTTGGAAGTTTTTACAGGTTATATGGAGTTTTTCTGTAGCTGCCTGGCCCATTCTTCTCCATTTTCTAGTGTCACTTGTTCTTAGAGTTACAAAACTGCTCCTTGTATGGCAATGCTGCCAGTCTTTCATTTCTTGCTGGCTTCAGTGCCTACATTTAAAACCCTCTGAGCTAGTGAAGAGCAAAACTGGGATTCCAAAACATGCAGAGAAAGCTCTGGGTTAGAAGGTTTTTTCTTAGAAGTTGGCATCCTTCCATACTGCAGACCTGGAAGGCGCGTAAGGCCACCATTTCACTGAGAGTGTTTTATGCTTTGACCATTGCTGGGTGTGAAGAAGTGCTGAGCTAAGACCTAGAACCAGAGGCAAAGGGGTGGGAGCAGAGAAAGAAGCTCTCCTTGGTTAAAGATGAGGATTTCCTACGTTGGACTTTCTGACTAATTGATGGCATCAGAGGGCTCAGCAGCACGCAAGGTGTCAGCTCCTGAGAACAGAGGCTCCTGTTCCAAAGTGGCACAGAGTACAGAGAACAGGGAAGAGAATGACTGAAAACAAAACGTTCGACAATAATTAATCTCCAAGCAATTATACAGGATAAGAAGTACATTTGTACCACAGAACCTGAAGTACTTTTACGGAAATAGAAGTCAAAGCAATGGAAAAAGCATTGAGCAGAGCAGTGAGGTTTGATTCATTAGCAAAATGGAGACACATAGGCCACTGCCATCATTCAGGCCAAGACATACTCAGCAACTAAGACGAATCACTAAGAGAATGAGAATGAAAATACAATCATAGGGAGCTGCATGCAAGAATGGAAGATATAAGCATCGAGATGTCATTTAAGAAGAAGCAACAAAAACATCAGAGAGAAAGAAGAACCAAAGGAACCAGGATAAGTAACAAGAAATTTCTGCATTGTTTGAGAGGGAGAAAAAAATCTTCAGAAGGCTAAAATTGTGTACTGACTTCCCACTTAAAAGCACAGGGCTTCCAGGGAGTTTTAGAGCCTCTTGATACTGACCTAACAAGTGGTCAAAAAAAGGCGTTCACTGAGCAAGGCAATTTGAAGAATCCATATTTGCTATTACAAATGTTGTCTCTTTTTAAATTTTTGGTTTTTAAAATTTTGGTGCTAAAATGGGTGATTATCTATGCTGCATTCCCTTTGGAAGAACAATACTCAACACTATGTAATACTTAACAATACTTACACTGAGCATCAAGTTTGTAACTGTGGGTTGGCCTTCATTTTTCAGCGCATGGATAGGAGAAAACAAGCCTACAGTGCCACAAAAGCAAATGGCTCTCAGCAAGGCTACTGAGAGACTCTGGGACATGTGCTGTGACCATCAGTATTCGGCTGGTGACTTCAGTCAACATCTGAGTCCCTGAGACTCTGAGAAGTCCCTGAGAAAGCTGAGGAAACCAGTGCTTGTAGAGCACGTGTGGGACTGAATGACTTCCTCAGGTCCCTCCCAGTCTCCATGCTTTTACAGCCAGACCTGCACCGCATTCATTTTTCACTTCTATCTCTGTTGGCATTCAGCACTTATCTTTGAATGAGCCCCTCCTGATGGATGCCAGCCTAAAGGAGGACCTAGAAGGTGATCTGAATGTTCCTTCCACGTGTGGATGAGAGTATTTCTCGCCTGAGGTGCTGACATGTGACACGAATGGAACAGACATCAATTGGATGATGAGACTAACTCCAAAGAAAAGAAAAAAAATCAAGTCACTGCTTTTATTTTTAGTCACCTGTTTTATCTTCTACAGCTAATTTGATAGTTGCACATTAGTTAGCACCTCAAGCAGAAAGCGAGCCATCACACTCACTAAAGGGAAACACACAAATTAGCAGCACCCGTGAGCGCACACACACCCTTCTGTACATACCCTTCTGCCAAGAATCTGGTTGATAGCTGCGCTTTCTTTCAGAGTACACTCTGCTACAACGTTCGCTCTCATTTCTTTCATGTACAACATGAAAGCATTCAGAGGTTTCTTAATATGAGGTCTTTTTGGCTCTTGTTCTTTTCTCTGTTCGTGCTGAGGCTTCCTAAAACGTGGTGGGGGAAGGGGGAAAGAGGGAAAAAAAGCATCTACATTTACCTTCAGCCTAAAAAAAACCCAAACCCAATGGAAATTTCCAATCAATGGTTACAGTAGCAAATAACTGGTAAGAATCTGGATTTCAGTGGTCATGTCTCGCCCCCTTTCATGTCTTTTTAGAGAACTGACTGAACGTAAAACTCAGGTAGATGTCAAGTTGACATTCTCTAGCAAATAACATTTGATCTGTGAATCTGCTCCAAATTCATCACCTATCTCAATTCTCTTTTTGACGGTTATATCTGCTATCCTGGCAGGACACTGTTTTAGGCAGGAGGATAACTCCTCACCCACTTCTTTCTGAGACCTTGAAGAAGAAAGCAAAAATGCTGCTTTCTACTAGTAGATTTCGCAGTTAAAACTGTTCCCAGAAAAAGCTTGTGAATTCATACTCAGGCACCAACCTCATGTAGACAGATCCACAATTATACTGCAATCAAAATGATTGCCACTGATAGCTTAGGAGCGCTGGATTGGAATGACAAATGGCATCATTACTTTTCTAAAACAGTAACCCTCATCTCTTTTCGATGTTAGAATCACAGAATTGTTTGAGTTGGAAGGGACCTTTAAAGGTCATCTAGGCTAACTCTCCTAGTTATAGGAGAAAAGTTAATATTCAGAGAGGCCATGTAAGGTGCTTGCTGCTTTTTTTTGTTGCTGTTTTGTTTTAACCTTGACTCTTCTTCAGATAGGGTTAGTTTTCTGGCATTTATAGATAAAGGGCTAGCACAGAAAGGCAGACTCACACATGCATTAGCTCACTGTCGTTGTGCGGATGTTCTTGTTTCACTTGAGGTGTTACAATAGCTGGGTGAGGGATTCCAGTTGTGTGAGGGCCTGGAGGACCAGGAATCATGTGATGTGAAAACCTAGAAGAGAAAACAAAGGAAGGTCTGTAACCCTACTGAAGATAGGCATCAAACAAATATGACAGCAGTGGGATGCCCAAGAATGCGAACACTACAGAACTTGCAATGGAAAGACAATTCCTTAAGACTGCATGAAAAATATTTGGCTGAGATCTGTGCATTGTAGCCAGTTTATTCAAGGAAAAAAAAAAAAAAAGTCACCATTTTGGTTTTAAAGAAGTTATTTTATTACCTTTCGGGCAAGTAGTTTTAGCAATGCACACCAGAAACATTTAATGGCTGTACTGTTGCACTGATTAGCAACAAAAATACACTTTTTTTAACCAAAAACTGTATTTTCACACCAAGATATAAACACTTGTAGAATATCCACCACCAGACAATGCAAAAGAGGGTACTGCCATGCAGAAACAAATAAAATAAAAGAATAAGTCTTTTCAAGAAGTCCCTGATAGGTCTGTAAAGAATCTCTTGCTTTGCAAAGTACTTAAACTAAAAGATCTTAGCATCACTTCACCTAAACTCATTGTCTTCTTCACAAACTAATATTGATAAAAAATTCCTACATTCTGGAAGAAAGAATTAAAAAACAAAAAAAAAAAAAGTAAAGAGAGAGAAAGAAAGATTTGTGTCCTAAATTAACCTTCCTTCTACCTGTACAAGGAAAACAGAAAACAAAACAGCATCACTAACTCCATCATCTCACCCTGCTATCCCAGTTCCTCCTCAAGGATGGCTGAGACAGACCTCCAGGGTGCTAAGCTCTGCAAGCCCAAGGTCACACAAAAATCTACATGCTAGCCTTTGGATTGGTGGAATGCCCCAGTAACATTACAAGCAAGCTCATGCGCTAAAGCTTTGCTGAATGAGTGCTGGTTAAGGAATGGCATTCAGCCTCTCTTTTCTCTAGTCCCTTTGGTCTCTTCCTCCACTTCATCAAAATAAAGCAAATATAAAGCCCTGTAACCAGATCAGGCAATTTTATTACAGAGAAAGAGTGGCTTTTCCTCCCAATCACCTGGCGGGCGCATGCTTGTCATTCCACTGCAAAGAAATGAAGGGACAGCCACACAGACAGAGGCAAGAGGACCTACCACATATCAAGTGGCCTGTCTTACTTCCCCATGCAAGAGGATGTGTCTTCTACAGGTCACACAAAAGAAACAAGAATGGTATATTGCAACCTTGTGTACACCAAGCACAGGATGCAGAAGCTGTCTTCAGAGTGCAAAAGCAGAGAAGAGGAGGACTGGAGTGTGTCATGGCCAAGTCTCAGTTAGCATTGCTTGCTTGCGCTTAACATAAAGACACAGTGCCTGAGTCACACACCAGCACAAACACACTGTGTTGGCATCCCCTGCCATTAATGGCATTGGGCTATGAAATATCTATTTCTGAGCAAGTTTCTTTGTGGAGTGATACCTAAATGATTCAAGACTAATAACCAACAACCTTGAAAATAAAACTACAGAATGAGAGTAACAATCCACCTGGCTTCGTACTTGTATGAGTAAAACCAAAGTATGCACGTTGTATATTACATCTAGAAAGGAACCAATGACTCATTTCAGATGAAGCAGATCAATTAATTGCTGACAATTTACTGGTGCTCCTAATTGTGATACTTCAGAAACTGCCAAGAAAATGCTGAATAAAACCAGTGTGGGATCCAGGCAAACTGTTATATACACAAATATGTTAAATAAAAATGTATGCATAAAGTTTTAGCTGACTGAAAAGCAAGCAAAGGCAGACCAAGATGCAAGCAGAAGAGCAACTTGCCCTCTAATGCCAGCAGTTACTCCCCAGTCAGTCATTCACCTCCTACACCTACCTGGACATGGAAGGGTCGACTGAGAGTGAGGATGGGTAGGGCTGCCTGAATCCACTCGAGATGGGATATACAGGCTGACCTTGCCTGATGTCACAGAAGAAAGGAACCCATCAATCATATGATACGGTACTCAGTAGTAACTCTAGAGTTGTAAGCACTTGATGGGAACTCAGGGTGAAACAAAAACAGGCAAAATTTTCCAGAGTTCTGCTGTGTTCAGGTGTTTATTAGCTTTGAATACTTAGGACCTTCACCTTAGCTAATGAAAGATTCCCAGTCCAGGTTTCTACTGGAGAGGAAAGCAAAACAACCAACCTTCCTCCTCCAAAACACACGTGCATACCCCCTTGCATCTAGTTTTAGAAACATTGCAATCAGACTTGGTTAACTAGCTCTTACAAAAGAGGTATTTTGTTCCAAATATTCCCAATGTAGTTCAGTGCAAGAACACTAAAGTATGAATTACCAACCTAGAAAACCTTTTGAATAGTTTCATAAGTCTGTGATATCTTAAGACTTTCTTCATTTGTGTATTCTGTAGTGAGGAACAAGTGACCAGTTCTTCTAAGAAACTATACTTGCTATGACAAAAAGCCCAATAGCAACACAAGTACACCCTGACTACCTAAAATTCAGCCTTACCAAGTTCAGCCCCAGTACCTGAACCAGCCCAACAAGATCACCACACATGCCAATCCTGTTCCAAGAGCTACTCACTGGTAGATCAGCTTTCCAGAAGTGGAGAGAAAAGAAATGGATAGCGGCCTTTGTAGGGTTCAGGATATTGGTTTCATACTTGGACTAAATTACTGGAAATCAGGAATGCTTAAGGAGTGGAGGAAGTCTCAGCTGCACTTCCACACATGAGGTAGCTGGAAGCCATGGTGCATAAGGGATGGCCAGATACGTCCAGTTGTCAATGAGCACTGCTGAACACACTCCCAAACCTTGTAAAATCACAGCTTGTCTCTCCTCTTCTTTCTCATTCCAGTTAAGCCACTCCCCTCCCTGCCATCCTCTGCATCATGAAACCATTCAAAAGAAATGATGGACCACATCTGGAAAATGAATGCCAGGAACTGCCTGCTGGTGGTGGAGGTGGTGAGTCAGCCTAGCAGCAATGAATGGGGAGTCAGATGCTTCCATATTTTAGTTTTGTATCTGATAACAATTTGCTCCAAAAAGGCATGTGGCACTTCCTGCAAGATTTGCCAGCAACACAGCGCTTAACCATCTTATAGTCTCTACTTTCCCTGCCTGCTGTCATCTGGATTATGTTTTCCTCTCATACACAGACACATGAAGAACATCTACGTCTCTCGTTGTGTGGGCACAGATTAGTCAAGATAAGGACTCTAAAGCACTGAAACTGTTGCTCTGTTTACTTATTCCCTGCTCTGAGAGAACTGAGGAGTGAGTATGTATCTACTCCAAGCAGACATGAAGCATCTTGCCAAATAGATTACATTCTGAAAGTACCATGTGTTTCCTCCAAAAGGAAGATGACACTCTGAATGGCACAGAAAGATCTTACGAGTGCTAATATTAGCAAGAAGAGCAAAGTCTCCTAATAACTGAGGCTTCTCTCCATACAGAAACTGTAAGAAGCAGCAGATTACAAAAGTTTGTTCTCCATTTTGGTGCAGTTTCAAGATTCCCCCCACCACACACACTTCAAAGTTCTCTCTTACCTCCCCTCCCTCCTGTAATTGCAATTTTGTTTATTAAAAATTTACATTTAATTCCTTGAGAACTGTTTTCTGCTATCTTTCCAAATGCCAAGAGCCACAAATCCGAGCCATAAGACTTCAAAGTGAAATCTACACACTTCAATTTCTGTACGTGTTCAAAAACCAGATTCAATTCATTTCAAAGATCAACATTTTTTGATCTTTTAAACTCAAATAACATAGTTATTTCTTACTGCAATGACATTCTTATTTTTTAATGCTGCAATTGACTCAACACCAGCGGATGGTACAAACATGCACCTTGTCTGAAAAGAAGCTAAAAGATCTTACCAGCCAAGAGGTGGTGTTATCTGTCCAACCCCCCCTGGAGACAAGGGATAGAAGGTGGGGATATCAGGAGCTGGAGGATGCCTGGACATGCCTGTTAAAGAGTACAGAAGAATGAATGACTTTCACCTCAAAATACTTGAAATGCAAGTTATCGTTCACAACTAACAGCCAACGCTATGATGGAATTAGTGCTCTGGGTGAGAAATAACCACTTGTTTGGTCAGTGTTAAAGGCCACTCATGCCACCTTTTAAAAAATAAATAAGTATTGCAATTCAGATAGAAACAATGGGGGGAAAAATAAGTGGAACGGCACAATAAATGTCTGGGCTAAGGACCTGCACAAGTTCAGATTTCCTGCCAAGTGAGTTAGGCAAAACTGTCCTCTAAATGGTTCTACCAAACCCAGTAAAATCCTGAGGAACTCCTCCAACAAGCAGCACGAAGCAAGACAAACTAAAATAAAAATAAAGCATTGTCAGAGGCAGCACAGCAGAGCTATTAGATTAGGTAAATTGCTACTTGCACGTTTTCGCTGGTTCCCTTATGGATTCACTGATTTTGGAAACTTGTTACCACAGAGGATCAGTGGTTAATTAAGAATCATTTTCAGGCCTGTAATGGTCACACTTGATATGATTCATTTGGCTTCCAATTGTCACTCCAGCTCCAACTAAGCTCTTCATCAAGTTGACTCCTGTGGGCTCCAAGGTCAATCTGTTTTGCATTGGTAGTATTTCATGGAAAAATAAAGGGTCCCATCAGAAACGTTCCATTAGCTCACATTCCCCAGAACACAGAGTCCTACAATTGTAAGAATCACCTCAAGATTAAAGCTAATCCTGGTCCCAGAAGGGCCTCTGGTCTCCATTCTTCACCTCAAACTCACGACCCCGGGAGACATGGAATTACAGTTGCAGAGGCCGCAAAGAACATCGTTTTATTTAAATATGTTTGGGGAAGAGGAGACTGAAGCAGAAGGAAGTGTTAAGTCGACTTCACATGTTAAATCAGCTGCTTTAAAAGGGTATTAAATATTTATGTAGTGACACTCCAAAGGCCCAAGATTGAGTGTGTGCTACCTCGAGACTTGGTTTTATAGATTGACACAACTGATTCCTTCCCACCCCACCCCATAGCTTGCATTTAAATCTTCTGAATTTAATTAAATGAACTGAGGAATATCTTTCGGGATTGTGTACAGGAAAGTAGAGAAAATAACACTGGCAGTTACTACAAACTCTGTCTTTTTTGGAGCCTCAAAAGCTAAGTTGCCAGGCTTAGGACCACAGCCTGAGGCTCAAATGTCTGGCCAGTTGTCTTTTCAGAGCCATAAAACAGCTGGTGGCTGACAGGAGAGAACATTTTATGTATTCCAGGATTTGTAACAGCAAACACTCTTTCAGAGCATCTAGAAAAGGGCAAAACACGGGACCAGCTCCCATCCTTGGTGACAGCTGATGCTCCTGAGGAGCAGTGACATGACCTTGCCCCTACTCAACCAAGCTGTGTGTGAAGAGAAGGGCTGCTGTTCCTTCCCCAAAATGCACATTTCTGACCCATGGTGAGGACTCTGTGCTCTCTGGCTTAGTGCACAAAACTTCAGGCCTTTTATGGAGAAACACCAGCTACCTGATGTCCAGGAGGAAAATGTGAAGCAGCCCCACAGCCAGCACTGTCTGAAACCAGATTTGCTCTCAGGAGGGTTAAAAGCAATAAAGACGAAGGGGAAGAATGAACTGACTGCCTATGGAAAGGTGGGAGCCGCGTGTCCATCCCGAAGTACCCATGGTAAGAGAGGCAATGCTGGGGGCGAGCCGCTGTGGGACCCCCAGCATTGGGGCTGGGGTAGCGAGGCAGTGTCTTTCTCCAGCCCCACACTGGGAGGCGAGGACAGAAACAATGGTCGGAGGCATCTGGCAGAGGACCTGAGGGAAAATATTCCCTCAGCAGCAATGGCGTGGACCACTTCACTGCAGCTGCTGTGACACGCTTGTGGTGCTGGGATGGGAGCATGGGAAGACCACACACATCAAGAAGACCATGGCAGCAAAAAAAAAAAGCAAAAGCCTCCGGCCCACATTGTCCATTGGCATCTTTGCCAGACGCTAAGAGGAGGACTCAAGAGCCTGTTTGGAAATACCAGAGCTCCGCATGAGAGATGGGCTGGGCAGGGAGAGAGTGAAACAAAGCAGAAAAGGAAGACAGACAGTAAGCACAAATGAGGCCTCCTGGTTGGGTCTGCAGGAGATGAGGAGGAAAATGATGCCCCATCGTTCAATAAGCCAAAACTTCCTGTGCTCACAAGCTGTAGCTGTGGGGTACAAATCCCACAGTCTAACTCACACAGCACCCATGAGGCCTCAAGGAATGACCACCAGTGTCCTCCTCCTGGGCACTCACATGAAGAAGGAAGACAAATGAGGACATGAGGTCTCCATTTGCTTCGTCTTCTCTCAAAAAAGAATTATATGTGCATCTGCAGGCTGGAGTGAAAGAAAATAACCAGACAGCCACATGTCTATGGTATTTTCTGGAGGTAGCCCAAATTATTACCAGCATAGCAAGGCCAACACAAAAACAAGGCATCTAGGGAAAGTCGGAACTAAAAAAGCCTCTCGTTGGGTGACGGTGGTTAGACTACCGTTATGTCAATTATTATATAGAAGAATTCAGAAAGCAAGAATATGAGAACATAAAAAGCAATTTTGATTTAAAAAAAGAAAAGGTTTTGATAACAGCAGAACTGAGGTGCTTTTCCCCAGTTTTCGGGACAGCGAGGGATGATTGCTGTTTCTGTGTCTGCATGCTGCAAGCCTCAGGCACAACAGGGGGTGGTGAGGACTGGCCGCTGCTTATTGAGATTTTAAAAGGCTCTGACGAGTAAAACAAGCCAGAATTATCACATTAGGAAGAGCATGAAGATTTAAACAGCCAAGCTAAATACCAGCATCACAGCAGAACAGAAAGTGGGCACACATGGTGGGAGCCCTCACTCTGAAACATGAAAAGCAAAGCCCCCCAGCAGTACGGGCTCACCTTGCTTGGAGCTGACGTCGGAGGGGATGTGAGATGGGTGGGAGCCTGGGGAAAAGTGCTCATCGCTGTAGGTGATAAGGGGGGTGAGAGGGTGAACTGCATGAGAAGGCTGTACCACTGGCACCTTGTTGGACTGCAAGAGAAGGGAAAACAGCATTAGTGAGGTGTGGCTTCCAAAATACAGTTTTTACATAATGGTATGACTGAAGCTAGAAGGGGCTGGCAGTGGCATTTCTGGAGGGGCTGTTTGGGAAGGAGACCGCTGACTACCCCAGGGAGAGCCACAAAGATTTACCACCTCACCCAGGGAGGGACCAAAGCACTGAAAACACCCAGTGGGGCCCCAAAGCGGGTACTGCCAGCCTATATTCCCACAAACCGCACTCGTGAATCAAGCCTGCAAGGCAGCAGGGCTCCTCTGTGCCAATGTGGTGCTTCTGCAGTAGTGCTGCATGAGACAAAAGTCGCTGTTCCCACAGCAGGATGAACCACAGCAATGATCCCAGCACTAAGAGGCACTCCTTGTTTCCATCCCGCCACCCTTCCCCTTGGCTAAAACAATTATGCCACAAACAGATCTTTAATAAAATAAAAAAGGAGAAAAAAACCAATAATAATAAAAAAAGAAATAGGCCTTCAGAGAAAACCGCTGATAAATCTCAGCGAGGACAGCCTGTCAGGAACTGTGAATTAACAGAAGAAAAAAGAAATCATTTAGGAACCGAATGAAATTAAATTTGAGTCTCACTATTCAAATCCTGGCACGAATAGACATAGTGACAATGCTCCAACGCCACACCAAGGATTTCTCTGGACTTCTAAAACCAGGAGGGCCATTCCATGGACAGCTCAATTTATTGTTAAGGCTGGTAGGAGCAGACGAAGAAGGAGCAAATGGGAAGCAGTGCTGCATTTTCTGCTTTCCTTGTTTCCAGAGCACCACCTTAAGGAACTTGCATTAGCAGGCAGTATCTTCTTAATGTCTGACCTATCCCTCCAGTCATATAGCTCAGAATCTGGTGCCATGAATTTTTGCTAAATTATGCTATCCTTGCTCTCCTCTTAATTTTACGGTTTTCAACACAGATTTGCTTTCCTGTAGGAAAGAGATAAGAACCTGAGGATTTTAATTTAAGCTTTGGCCTTGTCTTATATTTTGCAAGACGGAGAGAGAAAGCAGCACTGGTAGGTGTTTTAAAGCCAACAAGCATTAGGTCTGTTTTTGCGACCAAATAATAAAAGCAATATGAATTCTCAATAATATGTATGAGTTGAGTTGTAAAGGCGATAGTGCAGGCTGCTGTTCATCTTCCCAATCTGTATACATGCAACCAAAACAGACGCCAACAAATTTCAGCTGATTTACACATCAGGCCTTGGTCTTTAGCTGCGAGACTCAAGGGCCAGCCCACCATTCAGCAATTACTTTATCAACAATAAACTGTACATTATGAATAAAGATCAAGGAACAGATGTATTTAGGTCACACACACAGCCGCTAATCAGCATTAATTTCTCAAATTTTAGTAATTAACATTTTGCATTATACTGGCTGTAACTGTCATGCATGCCCGTGGTATCAGGGTAGCTTGCTTTCAGCAGTTGCCTGTTGTCCTCGCAGTAAACCAATTTGGGCACCCCTCACTCCTCAGCATCCAGCAGGTTCGGTTTTATTTTCTACTTCTTGGCACCTTATCCCCTAAGTCCATGGCTGTGGTTTTCAACGGGTGAGAGAACCGTGAGAAGTGAGGAGAAAAGCAATCCGCTTGTTAACGGGCTTAAAATTAACACAGAAAGGGGCTGCGTTTCCATCAGCAGCATTTGGGGTCTGCAGAGCCAGAGCCTGCAAAATAAAATAGAACAATGATAACAATGGGAGCTCTGGCCTGGGCCAGAAACTGATTTATTTTTAAAAGCCCCACGGACTCCATCAGTGCTGATCTCACACCTGCCCTGCAAGTCAGCCAAAGCAGGCGATCTGCTTGCTGATGTCCACTCTTCCCTTGTTTTTTTCTCCAGGTTTTACCACCCCAGAAGCTTTTCATGGCTGACTGTTATGGCCAAAGTCCTATGTTGGGCTCACATATGAGAAGGTTATATGATTAGGTTTCCACCAAACTCTGTTTTCTTTGTCAGTGGGCTTCCTCCTGCTCCCACAAGCAACCATACATCAAAACGTAATAATTCAGTGCACTCTGGTACCTAAAGCAGCCTACAGAAACACTGCAGAGCAGCAGAGGATGCAATCCGATGTCCAGAGCAGTCTGAAGAAGTCACACGTCTCTCCAAAAGCGGCCTAACACCAAAGGCTTCACTTAGCTCCGGGTGCAACCCTCCGCACATGCCCCAGAAAGGAAAGTGAGAATGTGCAGCCACGCTCAAGATCTGCAATTCTGGGAAATGAAACGAAACAAAACAAAACAAGGTGTTCTCATCTTGGAGGCTGAGAACCCGTTGGTGTATGAACCCAGAGACCTTCTGTTACATATTGAGGCACCTCGCCATGGTTTTTTCTCATTTTTAAATGCTTCTGAAGAAACGTGAGACTAACAAAAAAAAAAAAAAAAAAAAAAAAAAAAAAAAAAGAAATAATTAAAAAAACCCACCCACCTCCCCAAACATCTAGCTAAAAGCTGTAAGGTATCCTATATGCAACAAGTGTGCAAAAACTATAAAAAGCCTGAGCAAGCCACGGCAAAAATGCCTGTGGGTCAGCACTGGGCAGGCAGGCTGCAGCAGGGACCATTTGTTCCAGCTGGTGTGCAGAGGGAGATGGAGCGCGCAGCCCTGCCAGCTCTGCAGAGCCACGCAGGCAGCCGTGCTGCTGGTGGTGGGGCACGTAGTCCATGTCCCATGTGGTCACCGTCACACCTCACCGCTGCTCCCACCATCAGGTTGTCCCAGCAAGGGAGTGCTCCAGCCCAGCTGGAAGGTAGAACAAAAGGCTGAAAGCAACACCCGAAACATCTCTGTTCTTTCTTCTTGTTTTTCTTTTAAATGTTGATCTGCCTCTAAAAAGACCCCAAATGCCCCCAGTTCATTACTTGTCCTCTGCTGTCAACAAGTTGTGTGTCTGGTATGGGAACTGGCAGGTGGTCTCAGTTCAAGCTAAAATAGCCAAATTAAAACAACAGCAACAACAGTAACAACAAGAACACCAAAAACAACACAAAGAAACAACGCAACAAGAATTCTTAAGGCAGAAGACAAGCAGATCCACATAGCCAAATGTACACATTCCCTTTTCTTCCTGAAAAGGAGGGCTTCAGGTTTTTAACAGCAAACATTACACTGAGAGAAGAAAACACAACAGCAGATAGCTCTATCAAACACCCAACAACAGAAAACACAACCCTTCCCACTCCTGCTACAGCAAGTACCAGAGGACCAATGACTTGCTGGAGGATTTGAGGATACCTTAGCCTGAAAAAACATGAGGAAAATCTGTGCATTTTTTAGCCTATTTAATTTCTTCTTTCTAGAGCCCTGAAATCATTCTTAGACAGAAGGACTTATCAAACACAGAGATGGCAGTTTCAGTTGCTGTCTCAAAATAGCGATAGCATTTTAATGGCTAAACTGACTCTGAGTTTACGCCTTTGATGACCAGCTGTTGCAGTAGAAATGCAAAAGGAAGAAGAGCATGGTTTGGGAGCAGTGCGAAAACCAGGCCTGTGTGAGAAGATGTGCTGTCATGGACCGGCACTGGAGGTGGAAGGTGTTCTGGCCAGAACTTGTTACTCGTAGATGAAACAGATAATCAATGCCAGCAATAACTGCAATTATAATTTGTCACCTTCCTGGGAACTGGCGTACAATCTCCTTCTGTGAACAACTCTGCAGAGGAGCAGCAAGCTTGATATAAAGAGGTTGGATTGTTCCCCTCATTCCCAAGCCACTTATTTACAGCAAATAGTTTTATGTATAAAGCCAGCCTCCTTCTAATCTCTTGACAGAAGAGACTGCTTTATGTTTAATTTTCAAAACCTTCTCCAACTAGACACTGCAGCAGAGCAAATGAGATAGCAGGTATGAAGGTAGCGATCTGCAGCCTTGCTTCCAACCTCACCTGAAAGCACCACCTGAATCACCCCCTTGGTAACAGGGGCTCAGCAATATTCTGACCTACAGAAGACAAATAAAAGAGTCAATCTTATGCTCTTCTTCCAGCACGGGGAGTATTTATTTTGCTGATCCCTCCTGTTTTGGGGTCATGACAGTCATGGTACTCAGCCCAGTAAGGTGGCAAAGTGCATCCCAGTGATGCTGGGCTGTTTTCTGGACTGGAGCTCGCACTGCTCGCACTGCTTAGTGTGATGCCTTGTGCATCACACTAAAATGTAGGCAGTGTACAGGGATGCCCACAGACAAAGGGCAAACTGCTTTGCTTAAAGTGCAAAGTGTTGAAACGCAATGAAAGCCCAAATACAGCAGCCAGGGGAGTGCTGCAAAGACAAGAGTGAATGGGATTTGATAAAAACTGGGTTAAACATCTATCTAGATGCATTATAATCAGTGACATGATTCAGGTTAATCGTGACATTGGTGTAAAAACTAATAGCTTCTCTACAGTCTTCTTTTGGCAACTTTATTTTTTCATCCTTTTCCATCTTGGAAATTAATATAGCACAAATCTGACTGCTTTTTGCCAAAAAGTTGTAATGAACAGTTGAGTTCCCTCAAGACATCTTTAAAAACATGGCTGTTGAATCTCTGACAGAAACATGCTTTATTTCAAGTGTTCATTAAGCACCGCCATTGAGTGAGTGATTAAAGCACACCCAGCATTAAAATAACTTGATTAGAAATCCCCTGCTATCTCAGTTTTCTTCTCTCTCGCGACTCCTTAATTTGTTGTTCTCACCTGCTCTGGAAGGCTATAGGGAGACCCGAGGTGCTGCAGCACTGCACAGGGAGCCGGGCAGTGCTTTCCAGCCTGCTCATGGAGAGGACAAGCCTGCTGCTATTTGCAGGCTGCCAGTGCACATGTGTACAGATTATGCCTCACGCCGCATGGCCCATTAGTTTTAGAAATACTCACTAACAACTGATAGGGCATGAAATGGCCAGCAAAGCCGCAGACTTGCTTGGAAAGCTTTTGCTGTTAAAACATTTTGTGATGTTTGATTTCATTCTCCAATGCAGCAATGAGGTCTCTCCGATGGTCACTGGTTCCCAGCAAATGCTGCTCAACTTCACAGGCCACTGCTCATTCTGAGCTCCCGTTCCCACACGATGGTCCTTCAGCCCTGTCCACCCTGCATGGTTCTTCTTTTTCCTGATGTATATTGATGAGTGCAAAGAGACCCACACCAAACATGCATTAATTTGCAACAGCAAATCACATGCTCAGCAGCCGCAAGCATACCTCTTCTGCTAAGTATGCTGTAAATAAATGGGACTGCCAAAAAGGATTTTTTCCCATCATTTTCCATTGTTCATAGCCCTCTCTATTCTCTGTTGGCCAAGGTGAACACGAACACTGTGATGTTTTCACAAAGCTGACACCATGCTCTTGCACAAGCTCTGGTCCAGCATTCAACATGGGCAGTCCTCTGCATCCTCCAGCACCCAAACTGAGCTTTGAAACCTTTTCACCAAATGAGACATCACCAATTGGATAAATATGTGAACTTGGTGTGGGAGTGAGTGGCCAGAGGACAGCCCTGAGGGCTGGTGTTCCTGCTGGGGCCACGATGTGCGTCACAGGATGAGGCGACTCTTCCTCACTGGCCTCACTGCATCCCACAGGATGCAGGCCAAGGCTCCTGCTGTCCCACAAAAAGCCCCGTCCCGTGTCCCTGTGACTGACCAGGCAATGCCTTTCAGTATGACACACACAGTGGATGAAAACGGCTTGAAATAAGACCACTCCCAAGTACATGTTTACATCAAGTCTGTATCACGGCTTACTCAATGCCACGTGCCATAATGGAGACCAAGAAGCCTGAAAAAGGCCAACTTTTCTTTGAGCAGGGATTTTTTTTTAAGAAGAGATGCTCTCGTCCCATGAAGGCAAGAATGAGGACTCAAAGAGCTGTGGAAGCACCTGGCACACTAGTATGCGTCCAAGAGCTGCTTTGCTGCACCTGAGTTTGCAGCAGAAAGGCTGACTGGACAGTACCTGCTTACGTCCAGCACAGCAGAGACCAAGTTGACTGCCCACAATACCCAACGTAACTGGCACTTGTGGAAGCAATCCTACTTCCTTTGCCTTCTAAAAATGGGGAATCCAAGAAAACAAGATGAAAATGGATGTGAGAATGGAAGAGTGGAGACTCTGACTACATCAGTGATGTTTCAGCCAGTCCTTGTGCTTGGCAAGCTTCCTCCCCACATGGGCAAATTTTTGCTGTGGCCAACCCTGCCTGACACCAGGTCCAGGAAGGGCCATCCATATACTGTCAAGCAGTGAAAAGCCCCTGCAACTGGATTTTAGAGTGTGGTGGCCCTTACGCAGTTGAATTAACAGAGGGTCACCCAGCATACAGTGGGGTACAAAGCAAGCACCAGAGGGGCCATTTTCTGAACGTTAAGGCTCCCAGGCACTGCTGACCCTGCATACCCACTGGAAAAAAGTTTTCAAGTAACTTCTCTGAGTCCAGCTAAACCGTATTAACAGATTTATCCAATAACATGCAAATTCAGGTTTTAATGAAAAGTCTTAAGTCACAGCTCTAAGTGATTTGGACTTTTCTGCTAATGGCATCTGCTAATGACCAAAGATTTAATGCATCAAGTCTTAGCATACATCAGCGCAAACAATATAACCATTTAGTGGAGGTAAAAAGTCATCTCATTAGACATCCATCACTGGATGTGGGCAAGATGGTCCAAAGGCTTAAAATAAAATATTCATTTTTAAACTAAGAAAAAAAAAATCCCTAAAAACGTACAAATGATTAGGCCAAAAGTAGCAGTCTGCTAAAGCTTCACTAGGATTGAAAATTCAAACAGCAACATATATCTGGAGGTAAAACGCATTTGCAAGTACTTAATTTCTGCAGTACTGTTCCACAGAAGGCAAAACCAATTTTAATAGGAATTAAAGCAATGGGGCCCTCCAGAAACAGGATGTCTCTGAGACAGGTTATTTGAACCATCAGTAGAAGGTCATAACAGAAATTATTTCTCTGCCATATCATGAAAGATTACCTTAGTACAAACAGAAATGCTCAAAAACTACTAGCTTAATTTTCTGGACCTGTCCTATGAGGGATCTCAACACCAGGGAAACACAAAATTGTGAGTGTAGCTAGAAGTGTAACCACAGTATACAGCTCAGAATGAGCAGAGAACGAGTGGGGTGAAGCACAAGGGTAAAGAAGCAGAGCTTCAAACACTTTGAATGCGCACACACTTTGTACAAACCAGGTATGGATGCTCAGCTGTGGGTACCAGACCCATGAGAAGCCAACCAAGCAGGCTTCAAGGGATGTTCCTGTGTCAGCTATGGTGCTAAGTCAGCCTCTGAGAGCTGCCAAAACACAATTGTGTGACCCAAATGTGGGTCCTCCAGACCCAAAATGTCTCTCCCACTGATGGCAGGGCTGGATCTCCTCCAACTTTGCTTTGGCCTCTATGCTCGCCCCTGGGAAGGTGCCAGCAGGCTTAAAAATTGCTGCTGGTATGCACAATGCACATGACGCCTTTTAAGTCCTGCGTGGGATATTCCTGCCTGCTGCTAGACTTGATTTTTTTTTTTTTTTTTTTTAATTCAAGAGCTGCCCTTTAAAATTTAAAGTCATTCTTAAAAGAAAAAAACAACACCCAACCCACAGCCCGAGCTTTGTGCAGCAGGCACCTAAATCCTCATAAAAAGCCTGTGCTGCACTTTATAACACGGGTAAAAGTCTAAACATCGTAAAAGAGAGCCTGAATTGCCAGACTGCCTGAGCCCCCCGTAAATCACCCCTCCAGATGGTCCTACGGCTGCTCACAGCACCCTGCCTGTGACAAGGGGTCGCTCCGCAGTCCAGCCTCAAGTGAACCTCCAACACTATGCAAGGATTACGTGGTAGAAGAGGCACTTCTGAAGTTTACCACTGCCCCGTTATTAGGGATAGTTGGATTTTCCTTGCAAGTTACACTCTCCTGCACCTCCAAGAGTGGCAGGGGTGACAACTGTGTTCTTGTGGGCTAACAGGCCAGTCAAGCATTGAGAGAGCAACTTCCTCTCACTGGAAGGTGCCACGGATGATTTTTCAGGTGCAGGATTTCTCAATTCACCATTTGTATCACTTTGTGTGCTATACCAGAAGCCGACATCGTGAGAAAATCAGGTTCTTCGGCGTGGCATGGAGATACATCTTTTTCTCAGCATCGAGCTCCCCTGCGTTAAGGTAGGGGAAGGAAACTCTGCCTCCTTCACAAAACAAAATCATAAAGAATAAAAGAAAAAAAATACTCTTCTCTTCAGAAAACCCAGGCCAGGTGTTGGGTGCTCTCACCATCAAGCTGAGGCAGGGCTGGCTAATCCGTAGGCTGGCTCGTTAGTGAGATAAAGGATTTCAGGAGGTGTTGTGGGTTGGGGGAGTGTTGGTTGAGTGTGGCTCCTGCAGGAATGCCTGACCTTTCCTGGGGCTTTGATCATGCTGGCTCGCGGCGTGAGATAACGAGCCCTCTGCAGAATCCGGAGGTAATAAAAAAAGCAGCTTTGAGGCCTCGTGTTTTGGCAGTGAAGCGCTTACCTGGGCTGCCAGCACGCTGCCTGATCCCCCTGCCCTGCCAGGGGCTGTGCTGTGCTTCTGGAGGAATTTGAGCAAGGGGTTTCAGCTCTCACCTGGCTTCTCCCAGTTGAAGAGGTGTGCCATTCTTACTGAAGGCATGCATATGAAGATTCAAAAATGAGCACAGCCACAGAAGCATTAGTATGCAATTAAGCCACAGGTAGGATAATAGAAGGAGAAACTGTGTATCTGAAACAAACGAGATGGTAAAACAAAGGATTGATCTGGAAGGGCTAAGTCATTTCTTTCATCAGTTCCTCTCTGAACATTTAACCTGTACTATAAAAGGACTGCCTTTGCTGAGTTTTTTGTTTGTTTTGTTTTTTGTTTTTCTCAGGGCAGGCAACCTGAACAAGCCAGTATACCATTGGGTCAACAAAGCACAAAACACCTGGGCTCAATGCGCTGAATTGGTGGGTGCTAATTAGCTGAGTCTTTAATGCTTCCCCCTAATGAGCCTGTATAAGTACTCTGCATTGGGCTGCTCAACAGGAGAAGTTGTCCTGATCCTCCAGAGCTGCTGCTCTCCTATAGAGGCAGCTGTGCTGCATGCAGGGCTGGCACCTCATGCAGGGCTGGTGCTGCATCAGCTCTGCAGTGCTACCTGGCTGCAAAGTGACCGGAGTCAAATCCAACAAAACCTGGGTAAGTTACCCCTTACCTGGGGGGGGGGGGAAGCAGCGTACTCAACGATCCTGTCTTCCTTGCAGGGGTTAGCTATGTAGATTTCAGATGCAAATTTTACTTTAGGGCAGGCTTTACGGTATTAGGAGTCTCCTCTTTAGCCTTCTGAAATTTCATATGTATACATGCTGGAGTTCTCTCATCTCTGTTAATTGGGTTTTGTGGAATTTTGAGGCCTGGGGGCCAGAGGGAGGGCTGCTGATTAAAGCATGCCATGCAGAAGTGGATGCAGTGGTGTTGCACAATAGCAGGAGCAGCTCTGTTCACCCAAGCCGCCTTCTGGTGTGCAGCCGGCAGGCTGGAGGAGCTCCTGTTTGCACACTTAGAAGTGCCTTGGCAGAAGGAGGGTGCTGTTCCTTCCAGTCTCTCAGCCCTGCTTTTCCAGTTGTACACATCGGTTCCAGGGAATTTGAGGTGGGTTTGCTGCTGTCTGTTTATTGTGTGGAGTCACTGTCCTGGCCACCAATCTGACTGTGGTCACAAAGAGGGGCAGGGGGAGCCTGCATGCTGACCTACAACCTTCAGCACCATTAAGGAGGAACAAAAGGGTGCTGAGTCTCCCCTTGTCTCCTCTCACATCCATGCCTGTTGGGATTTGTTAGGCTGCGGATCCGAATCAGTGGGCTTGATGGGTGTGTGTCTGTGTGTCCCCACAGCAGGGCACAGAAGGCTCCCTGCCTCACTCCCAGCTGCATCTCTCCAACACCACACACACACACAAGGCTCCAGCCCAAAAGCTTGCTTGCTGCAGCTAAATACAGATATTCACACACCCATTATAAATGCAGTCTAGTTTCATTTTTAACCCACAGGAGGGTGTGGAGGGAGAAGACATCAAAGCATGAACACAGGCTACCCTGGCATTCTGGGCGTGCAATTTTATCTTCCCTTCATTTCCCTCCTTTCCAAACCAGCTGCTGCAACTATCACGATGCTTGCCCTCCGGCCGGCATGCTGGATAACTGGCTTCCAAGGCAGTCATTAATCTCCCCCCATTACCCAGCTGGCACAGGAATTCACTGAGAGAGGAGAGCTGCCTGTGTGCCCTCCCAGTGGCAGCTCCCCAAGCCATCCCCAAGATGGATGCACCGGAGCAACGCTCAAGGAAGCAGGGATGTCACCAAGCACCATCAGAGGATCTTGGATACGTGGGATGAATGCAACCTGCCTGTTGGCAACTGCGGAAGAAAGAAGCAGCGTGCATCTCCAGGGAAAGATGGCTGGGATCAGAGCTAAGTTTAGAGAGTTACTTATTCCACAGCAATAGCAGCAGAGAGCAGCCCGATGTATGCAAGCTACGCAAGTGAAAGGAAGATGCACATAAGCCTTCAGCAAGAAAATACAGCTCAGCAGTACTGTGCTTTCATCCAACCATTGGGTTTTGACCCATCTGGGGTGACAGGGCTGAAAGTGCATCAGGAGGTATGTAATTAACTGAGTGCAGACAGGAGCTGCTGCTCCAGCAAAGCCCTGGTGAAATGAAAACAAAGCAGGCTGAGAAAGCAACAATGCACCGTCTACTGAAGAAGACAAAGTAATCAGAAACAAGTTTTGTGCCCTTCCTACCTGAAACAGCCATCTCCCTGCCTCCCACTGCTGTGTGGGAATGTTTGAGCATCTGCATCGAAACACAAATAACTTTTTCAGAGTGTTTTCTTGGCATGTCAGCGAGATGATGCACAACAAACCTGTCATATCCTCTTGGTAACTGTGTTCATTTGCCACTTTTTTGCACAAGAGCATTGTGTATACACACAACACTACACTAACCTGCATTTGATCTGGTGGTAGGACCATAGTTCTCCCACGGCGAGGAAAAACACAGACAAGTTTTTGATCTTCCTTAAAGCAATGCTTATCTCAGTTTTGTTTGTTTTCTGTTTTTTGAGTGCAGGGTAGCGTCTGATGTGCATGCCACCCACCACCGCTTATCTCGGCAGCGAAGCAACCATTGCAAACCAAAATAACAGCATCTTCCTCTGTGCCTGCCCTTCAAGCAGTGACAGGCATGTTTTGGTATCGCAGACCCCAGGGCGTTAAGCACCAGTCTCGCACCTGCACACTTGCTGAGAAATGAGGGGTCCTTTGTTAAGGCCGGCGGATTACAGGCAAGACGGCTCAAGCAACCCTTTCCTGAGGATCCTCTGGAGGCACCGTCCCACCCCAGCCCAAGCAAGCCTCCAAAAATGTAATTTTAGAACATCTGCAGAATGAGCATCTACAGCAAGAGTTCAAAGCAATGCCAAGCCAGGAAAATGAGTGTAAAGCATGAGGCATCAGCACGGAGCACTGACCTGCACTCCTGGGGAGCCCAGCAGGAGACTAGCAGCCCCTGCAGCTGCCCACAGCTCCTCAACTTCCCAATGCAAGGACTCTGGCAAGGCCGTGAGAAAACATGACCTCCACCATCCCCAAGCACTGCTGGGGACTCCAGCTGCTGGTCCCTTCCTTGCTATCTGCAGACACTTTCCGGCTCACAAGCTGACACGCGAAGGATAGCGACAACGACCCTGACGAGTCCCAGGGCGACAGAGGGAAGTGGTTTGAGAGGGGTTTGCTGGAGTCTGTGCACCCAACCAGCCCTCAACCACATGTTTAGTCTTGTCCCAATAGCTGTGTCATTGGCAAACAGAGGACTTCAGCTGGCTACTTTCTCATGAGCTTTTAAAGAGGGGCAAAATGGAAAAGAAGCTTTGAGCAGGCAGAGGAAGGAACTCTTGGTTAGCTGGGGGGGAGACAGCCATCAGCTGTCACACCGTCTGTCTGGCAGCAGCCGGCCAGGCAGCCCCACGCAAGCTTTCCGTCCCAAGCACATCCTTCCTGGCAGGGAAGGACGCAGGCCCTCAGGAAGCTGCTGCTTCTCCTGCCACACTCAGCAGTGGGGGTCCCATAGGGCTCCCGGCACCTAAAATGTGTGCCAGAAATAGAGCCCAGGAGGTGCTATATTTAGTGGAGCAAGTGGTGACTTAGGAAGGGCCCCTCCAGCAGATGGGCATGGCCTTGTGATGGGTCCTGTTCCCCAGGTGAGGATGCTGTGTTGTACCCAGGGAAACGTGCAGCCATCTCCTCTCAGGGGATTGTGGGGCAGTGAGGTGGAACAGATGTCCCACCTCTGTAAGGAGACTTGGAGAGAAGAGCATCTAATTAAGACCACAGCTCCGGTTAATTGAGCCCAATTCACCTGTGACATGAAGAGCCACAATCCCATCAGCAATAATGGGACTGCATCGGCTTACACCAGTAATTACTCCAGATCAGCAGTATAACAAAGCTAATTCAATACTTCTGCAGGTCCAGCTGCTCAGGCTGCCAGGGGAGTGCTGGAGATGGCCTCCCTTATGCCCAGCCCCAACAAGCTGGTGATGCAGTGCACGCTAGCAATCCCTGCTGAGTTGTACTGCAGGGTGCTGGCAGGTGACTGTGTGCTTGGGGCCACGCTGGATGTGGTAGGGTGTCGCGTGAGCTGCTGGCGTGGGCAGACATGCAAATTGACAGCTGCACAACTCTGCCATCATCGCTACTGCTCCCATGGGGCTAGGACAAGAGGATGGGGATGGGGATGGGAAGCCTGCATGGGGTGTCCTGGGCATATCAAGGACTGGGAATGGCAGGGCAGGCCCTGGCTGCCTCATTCAGGCTGCAGCCCAGAATGTAGCCCAGCACAGCAATTCTTTCCTATCTCCGGCCAAAGAAAACTCAGCTGCCACTGTTGTGAGGAGAGGAGCATTACTGTAGGCCAGTCAAGTTTTGACTGGTCTGATTTCCATAACACACTCTGCAAACATCTGCCTCCTATTGCAGGCTGGGCTGCACTGGGACAGGTCTCTGAGCCAACACATCCCCCAGGGCTCTGTCTGCTCTGGTGAAGACAAGTCACAGATGTGTCTACCAGCAGCCACCACCTGTCCAGGTGCCCTTCCAGGGGTCCCGACCTGGCTGTCTTCTCCAGAGAGGAACACATACTATGGGGCATCCATAGTGTCCTTTGGCGCATCAGAGTTGCATCTGTGCTGTTGAAATGCAAGTGCTTCAGTGAGGTGCCCTAAATGAGGAGCGTTACTGCTCTGCTGTTGTTGGGACATTTGGCATGGCCAGGTTGAGAAAGACAAAGGGAGAAAAGCCTCATGCTGAGAAGCACAAGGCCAGCAAGCACATTCCTCTGTGACACTCCATCTCCAGGTTTGAAACAGAGAAGGCAGGCAGCTGCCTGGGCACCCTGGGCAGAAGAAGCCCACAGCTCCATTCGCTCCTTTGTGTCTGCAGAGTGCAAGCATCAAACAAAAACAAGCAAAGCACTCTGCAGGGTTGGCTACAGCACCTTCCACTTCAGGTTTGGCTGATTGAGCCCCGGCCCCAGGCTTGGCTGAAAGCCTCCTGGTTCATCCTGCTTCAAACCAGCACGTTTCGAAACTTGTGCTTTGCATCCTTCAGGAAGGAAACAAGATCAGAAGGCACCACATGTCTTTTCTGTACAGGATTTCTCATTTTGTCATGACCTTCTGCTCTCTGCCTAGGCATCAGCTGTCCCTACCACAGCTTCTCCCTCAGTCAGCAAGCAGCACGTCCCACACCTGGGATTTCCATTGCCAAGCCACAGACCTGCTTGCACTTTTGCAGCACACATGATGTCCTGCCCAGACAATGTCACCAACCAGTGGGACCAGAAGAAACAGGCTGGCATTGGCGGGACAGCTCCAGCCCCAGCTCAACCCCTGCTGCTGGCAACCCAGGGGACAGCTACTAAAAAAACCAAAGCAATTTTCTTTATTTGACCTCTTTAATCGACACAGGGATGAATGGGATTAGATATCAAGCTACACATCTTTACATGCTGTTGTTTCTTTTTTTTTGAACTGAGTGAGCATTTATGCTGTGTGGGGCAACTTCCAGCTTACGGAAATCAGATGGAAGGTGTTGGTTTTTCACACTGTGGGCCTCGTCTCTCACACCATATCTCACAGTAACATCTATGCTCATTAATTAACTCTTCTCCTTTCAGTTCGCAATCCTATAAACATCTCTATAGCAGCTGATGTCATTGTTTACACAGAAAAGCGTGACATACATTTCTCTCAGAGCAGCCTGAAGTGAGAAGAGCCAGCAGCAGGTTAGCAAGCAGCTCTCTGAAATCCCCTCAAACCCACAGCAACAGCAGCACCAAGCATCAGCGCCTCCAGCCCAGTACATCTGCTGGTCCCCTGCACTTTGTTTACGGCCACGACATGTCCCTGTCTGATCTGCCGTCCCATGATTGACATCAGTCAGACTTCCCACCTCTACCAATCAGTGTTCCCAACTAGTTCTGTGTTCTTGGATCTATCCAGACACATATCAGGGCCATGGGGTATGACGCTCTCCTCCTTGTAGGCAAAGGCTTGAGCCATGTGCTCAATTCAGTCAAGACAGCTGGCATCAAAAATATAATGAGTCAGCCAATGATCAAAAAAGATAAATAAGACTGCTCTTTTTTTTTTCCTATGTTAAAAACATCCCTATACGATTTAAATGCACAGCAAGGCATGGGGAAGTGGGAACATATCACCATAAGAAAATGCCTTCGTTGTTTTTGTTTGAGATTCCACATTTTTCACCAAACATTTAATCAGAAATCACAGTTCATCTTTGAAGGGATTTTTCAGAGCCCTCAGTTCACTGCTGCAGTCTGCAGCGGTTTTGCAGGGAGGGAGAGGCACAGCCTAGCCCCCTGCCTCGGCATTTAGGGGCATGCAGGAGGTGTGTGAGGGTGGGGAGAGCAGCTTGTGCTGAAGGCAAGGCTCCAGGCAACCCTGGAGCAGAGTGATCCAGTCTGAAATGAACTGGCAACCCTAAAACTTTTTGATAAGATAAAAATTCATTGATGTTGGCTCACACTGGGCCCACTTCAGCTCTGCACTTGTCCTCTGTGTTTCCTTGGCATATCTGTTCCTTTCCTCTATCTGCTTTAGCATAACTTTATTTTTCTCTTTTATCTTTAGCTAACTGCACCCAGGGACTGGAGGGATTGATTTTTTGTTTTGACTTATTGTTTGAAGATCTGTAACTCAAAGCAGCTTCTTGTGCCTCTGATGTCTAGGCATGAGCAGTATAAAAGGTGAAGCGTGTCCTATGTACCGAGCTGAGCAGGGATACCATTCTATAATCAGTCATCTGTGTTTTATTTTGCCTTTTTGGGAGGAAAACTATTTTAAGACTTTATAGGCAATAACACTTGAAATAAATATTCCCGTGGCTGATACTATGCACGCCGGTTCTTTCCCTTTTTAATAGACAGTGCGCCATTGCTCACTTTGTGCAAAAAAAGCACCAAGTTCCTAATTAAAGGAGGCCATTATAAATCAGAAGATATTTTGACCGTCATGTCACACCCCTGGCAGTCTACTACTGCCAAAACGTTGCCATGCAAATCCGAGAACGCTGTGTTTGGGGATGCGCTGCCGCGAGGCGAAACAAATCCCCTCCGACGAGGGAAGGCAGAGGGAGGGGACAGCGCGCTAACCCGCTCCCATGTGCTCCCTTTGCCCTCAGGGCTGGAGCTGGCTTCTTTTAGGAAATTCTTGCCCTCAGGCTGCGTCCAGCAGGCAGCTCATTAGGACGTGGTGGCCCGGGTTTCTCACGCCGAGGTCGCAGAGCTCGCCACGCACAGCGGTGCTGTTTACGATACCCCATCTACTCCGCTCCCTGAAGTTGCCCAGCTTGCTGAAATATGGTTACATATGCAAACATTATCTCCCAATTGTAACCTCATTTTCTGCTCTGCTGGACGGCGTGACCAGCATTTGTCATCCTGCCGCCCCCGCCCGCTGCACCGCTCACACGTCCCTAATTGTCACCGAGATGCAGCGTGCCAGCGGGACGCCAGTGTCCGCTGCTCCCCATCTCCACGCAGTCACTCAGGTAACAAACCCATAATCTCGTCCTGTTTTCATGATGGTTGAATTACACATAATTGTTCCTGCACAGTGATTGATTTCTGCCTGAATAGAGACCTCTGCCTTTTTTCAATGCGAGCGAGTGGCAGCCAAGTCTCTCCATCGAGGAGGAGGCAGCAGCCTTTGAAGAGATCAAAGCCAAGGCCGCGAGCAGTTGTGCGCCCTGGGAATATGGAAAGCCTTTATGCTCTCAACCCCATTTCCAACATCATGTTGGATTGCAGCTGCATTACATTCTGCCAGCATTCTTAATGCTTTTAGTATTGACTCTGACATCACCGATAGCTGTTTTAAAGTAACAAAAGCTGAGGGATGACTTATTTTCACAACTCCGTAATTGGAACATGCAAAGTTAGGGAAAGGCAGCATTTGTTTTCAATCTGAAATACAAAAGAAAGCACAGAAAATTATATAAGTTCCCCAAAATTAAAAACACGTTTTTCATATGGAAAGAACAGAGGGGGCATTTTTATAGCCTAGACCACACAAAATGAACTGATTATGCACATGTTTTTTCAAGCCTAAAGGGTGAAGTAAAAATATGATTGGGTAAGCGAGTCAAATCGGGAAAAAATATTGTGACTCACGGTGCATTTAGTGACTTCTAGCACCTGATGCAAGGCAAAATGCTACAGATGCCCTGGGTGCTGCTTCCCTCTGCAGCTCCTTGTAGTAAACTGACAGCAGTTCGTTTAGCCTAAACCAGGCACAACACGTGGCGAACGAGCATTAAATCCCCATCAGTTATCTGGGAAGATAACCAGCGATCTGGAAGTATAAAGCACTTCATAGCTCCTTCTGAGATTTCCTCTGCTCCAGCCACACAACAGCCGTAACGCTGCCTTAAAGATCACCACAGAGCTATTTTCGGGGGTGCTGGATGCTCCTGCCCTCTATCCCCTCCTCCCCTGCCCTCACAAGTGAGCACAAAGGCAAAAATCTCTATAGCTAGAAAGGCGGCCCCAAGCTTTGATTAAACACACGCCCACACTGTCCAGGGAACACATTTCCAGGGAAGCCTTAAAATGAACCGGTGGGAAGAGAGAGGACAGGGAGGATGGGAGGCAGAGCCAGGGATGCCGCACAGCTGAGCCGCTCCTGTCCGGAGCACTGCTGCTGCTTCAACAAACACTTCTATTCATTCTGAACAGTAGTTTTGAAATACGCTCACTGCCACTACGGCGTGCGGAGTGCTGAGAAGCGAAGAATGTGTAAATAAAGCATGAGCTGTAAAGAATTAAACGTTATAAGCTGTAAAGAATTAGACGTTAAGAGCACTCGTGTATTAGCAATAAAAATAATTCCCTCTTAGCTGCATCATTTGCCTTCTGCTATTCCAGAGCTCCTTTTTCCCTGCAGTCACCACAGCCCCGTTTCAGAGACGGCAGCAAGGGACTTGCCCTCCTTCCCTGTGGACACCAAGCCAACGTCCTTGTCACTACCTGGATCGTTGGTACTGTCTCAGGGATAATTTGGCCATTCCTCGGCACACACACAGCCACACTGAGGCTGAAAGTGGTGGCAAACATAGCAAGCCATCTCTTTACCACAACACAAAAGCTCAATTTTGAACAGCATTAAAAAAGAAGCCTTTCCAATGTTAATCCAACGCGCATTCGTTGTTTTTTTTTCTGCCCCTCT